ATGATGATGATGATGATGATTAGGAGGAGGAGGAGGAGGAGGAGGAGGAGGGTGATGATGATGATGATGGTGATGATGATGATGATGATGCTGATGATGATGAGTGATGGTGATTGTGATTGTGACTGTGATGATGACACGCATGACGATTGTTGCTTGTGATAGTGATGATGACGATGATGGTGGAGGTGATGATGACGATGATGATGATGATGATGACGATAAGGTTGGTGATAGTGATGGTGACGATGAGGATGGTGGTGATGATGATGATGATGAATGATGAAAAATGAATGGTGAATGATGATTAATGAGCGATGGCCAGTGACTGATGAATCGTGACTGAATGATGAAATGACGATGAAGATGATGGTGAAGGTGATGGAGGATGACTGATGTAGAAAAGTATCAATCGCCACCATACATCTACAGCTTCCACAGCTTGAGACATTTCACAGCGGGGTTTTTCCAGCGCTGCCACCACTGCTCCTCATACGATGATGTTCTACAATCTGAAACCTTGACACGTATCAACATGCCTGCGAAAATTGAAAGGATGCAAAACATGAGAAATACCCTTCGCACCTGCAGGGTCCCAAAATCCCACCGGAGCTTGCACGCCAAGTTCATTCTCGAAGGCTCGCAGGGGAGAGGCGGTGTAGTTGGCCCAGTCACCCCAAGCGCTTCCAGTCAGCCCATCCTGCAGTTGCCAAAAGATGGCGCTAAAGTCGCTCCAGAGAATCTACAAATAAGCTGGGCACAAACCGTCTTCTAGTCATGCTTCAGGTTAACTGCGACACAAGCCTACGCGCAAAATGCATGAACATGATACTGATCGTCATACATACTCTTCCATCATCGTAATCATTGATTGAACCACAACTTGTGCGAACGTCGCACTTGCGCGTTCAAAGCTCTGCCCCTGCGGTACAAACAGCCGATTGACCTATGGATTCATCAAAGCTACTGCATGATGCTGCATGTTTGCACGTGTCAATTTGACAGCGTAGCTTTCCCCCTACATGGCTTTCGCACTTGGATGTCCTGAAAGAACATGCCGATGATAGCCATCATCGCAAGGCGGCCATTTGCCAACTCTGCACTTAATTTCTTGGTCTTCTCCGCAGGATCAGATGCGGTCAACACCTTGAATCCAAAGTCTCCTGCTGCAGCTGGGGTTCCAGGAGACTGATCCTGAGAAACCTCGCAGAAAGCCATGTATGCCAAGATCTGTCCCCATCCTGCGGCAGGCACTTTGGAAATTGCTGCCAAACCATTTGGCACGTCAGCGAATTTCAAGCCGGCTGAAGGCGAGAGATAACCAGGGAATTTGCCCGTGATCTCCGGAGTGATATATCCCATTGTTGCAAGCATGGATATGCGACCGTGCTTCAACTCGGTCTGACGACGTCGCTTGAAGTTCTCCACGCTTCCATCTGCTGTGAAGCCTATCTGCTGCGGCTTGCAATCTTTGCAATGCAAGGTCTGCATGTGTTGTTTCACCCTGCAACATGCATATGCATACTCACCAATCTGGAAGTATACGACCATCACTGAATTCCAGATGATAACCATTGTCAAAAAGAAACTCAGTGGCAGTATGATCCAAAATAACAAGGCAGGAAAGAGGGGACCAGAAGATTTTACAAAAGAACATAAGACGATTAACAGTGAAAGAACATGAACGCAGTGATGATGGAGATGGTGATGACGATCGCGATGGTGATGACAATGGTAATGGCGATGATCATGGTCATGATGATCATTTTAATGATGATGATGATGATGATCATCATCATGATCATGATGATAATACTATTGACAACGATGATGATGATGATGATGATGATGCGTGGTTATGTTGGTAGCGGTGACGATCATGATGATGTCGATGCTGATGCCGATGATGATGATGACGATGATGATGATGATGGTGATGATGATGATGATGATGGCGATTGTGATGAGGCCGACAGTGATGGTAATGATGGCGATGATGATGATTATTATGGTGATGATGACGAGGACGATGACGAAGACTATGACGATGACGATGACGATGATGATGATGATGATGATGATGATGATGATGATGATGATGAGCATGACGAATGATGACGACGGCGATGGTAACGATGATGATGGTGACGGTGGCGATGTCGATGCTGATGATGATGATGATGAAGAAGAAGATGATGATGATGATGATGATGATAGTGATGATAGTGATGATAGTGATGATGATGAACAGTGAACGGTAAACGATGATTGATGAGCGATGGCCAGTGATTGATGAATCGTGACTGAATGATGAAATGACGATGATGGTGAAGGTGAAGGTGATGGAGGATGACTGATGTAGAAAAGTATCAATCGCCACCATACATCTACAGCTTCCACAGCTTGAGACATTTCACAGCGGGGTTTTTCCAGCGCTGCCACCACTGCTCCTCATACGATGATGTTCTACAATCTGAAACCTTGACACGTATCAACACGCCTGCGAAAACTGAAAGGATGCAAAACATGAGAAATACCCATCGCACCTGCAGGGTCCCAAAATCCCACCGGAGCTTGCACGCCAAGTTCATTCTCGAAGGCTCGCAGGGGAGAGGCGGTGTAGTTGGCCCAGTCACCCCAAGCGCTTCCAGTCAGCCCATCCTGCAGTTGCCAAAAAATGGCGCTAAAGTCGCGCCATAGACTTTACAAAATAAGCTGGGCACAAACCGTCTTCTAGTCATGCTTCAGGTTAACTGCGACATAAGCCTACGCGCAGCATGCATGAACATGACACTGATCGTCATACATACTCTTCCATCATTATAATCAATGATTGAACCACAACCTGTGCGAACGTCGCACGTGCGCGTTCAAGGCTCTACCCCTGCGGTACAAACAACCGATTGACCTATGGATTCATCAAAGCTACTGCATGATGCTGCATGTTTGCACGTGTCAATTTGACAGCGTAGCCTTCCCCCTACATGGCTTTCGCACTTGGATGTCCTGAAAGAACATGCCGATGATAGCCATCATCGCAAGGCGGCCATTCGCCAACTCTGCACTTAATTTCTTGGTCTTCTCCGCAGGATCAGATGCTGTCAACACCTTGAATCCAAAGTCTCCTGCTGCAGCTGGGGTTCCAGGAGACTGATCCTGAGAAACCTCGCAGAAAGCCATGTATGCTAAGATCTGTCCCCATCCTGCGGCAGGCACTTTGGAAATTGCTGCCAAGCCATTTGGCACGTCAGCGAATTTCAAGCCGGCTGAAGGCGAGAGATAACCAGGGAATTTGCCCGTGATCTCCGGAGTGATATATCCCATTGTTGCAAGCATGGATATGCGACCGTGCTTCAACTCGGTCTGACGACGTCGCTTGAAGTTCTCCACACTTCCATCTGCTGTGAAGCCTCTGTTGCGGTGCAATCTTTGCGATGCAAGGTCTGCATGTGTTGTTTCACCATGCCACATGCATATGCATACGCAACAATCTTGAATTGTACGCACAAAACCAAACATCACTCAGTTTTAGATGATACTTAGGACGAAAAAACTCAATAACAGTATGATGGGAAAGAAGGCTGGAAAGATGGGGTCAGATGATTATAAAACAGAAAATTTGATGATGAACTATGAGCGATAGTGAACGCAGTCATGATGGTGATGGTGATGATGATGGCGGTTGTGATGAAGATGCTAATGGCATTGATGATCATGATGCTGATGGCGATGATGATGATGATGAAGAAGAAGAAGAAGCTGAGAAGGTAAAGATGAAGATGATGAAGAAGGGGAAGAAGAAAAAGAAGCGTGGTCATGCTGGTAGTGGTGATGATGATGATAAAAATGATAATGAAGATGATGAAGATGATGATGGCCATGAGGATGATGATGATGATGATGATGAGGATGATGATAATGATAATGATGATGATGATGATGGTGATGATGGCCATGAGGGTGATGGTGATGAGGATGATGAGGCTCATGATGATGAAGATGAAGATGATGATGATGATGATGATGATGATGATGATGATGATGATGATGATGATGCTGAAGTTGAAAAGAAGCATGGCGGATGATAACGGTAATGACGGCGATGCTGATGATGATGGTGATGATGGTGATGATGATGATGATGATGCTGATGATGATGATGATGATGATGATGATGAAGGTGATGATGATGATGATGATGGTGATGATGGTGATGATGATGCTGATGATGATGATGATGATGATGATGATGATGACGGTGATGCTGATTGTGATGATGGTGATGATGATGATGATGATGATGACGATGATGATGATGGTGATGATGATGATGATGATGGCAATCATGATGAAAAAGAACGGCGACTAATGAATCATGTAGGATTGGCGAACTGACGAGGAAGATGACGGTGAAGATGATGAAGGATGACTGATGTAGAAAAGAATCAATCACCATCATACATCCACAGTTTCCACAGCTTGATACATTTCACAGCGGAGTCGCCCCAGTGCTGCCACAGGTAGTGTAGGTAATGTAGGTGATGTAGGTGATGTCGATGTTGTAGAGATATAGAGGGTAGATGATGTAGATGACTGTAGATGATTTGGGCATATTTGGATACAGTATATTTGGATGAGGTAGATGTTGTACATCATGTAGATCATATGTGACGCAGGTGATGTGGGTGATGTAGAAGGTAAATGATGTTAAAGTTGAAATTCGCTGCAGTTCTTCAAGAAACGAACTTCACAGGAGCTTTCGGGAACAAAGTAACTAAATATGATGATGTTATGAAACCAAATGCAAAATCCAAAAGAATGAGAAAGCTGACCACGCCTGCTGGGTCCCAAAAACCCACAGGGGCTTGCACGCCAAGTTCGTTCTCAAACGCAGTCATCGTGACCTTGTCTGCCATACATTGTCACTTTGCCATGGCACCCGACTTGCAACAATACAACGAAAGCTGACGCGCTTGTCTTGTCAAAGATTGTAGACTTTCGCTTTTCGCCCGGGGGTGGCCACTTCAAAGAGAACATGAACAAGGTCAGCCCCACTCTTACGTAAAAAAGCACTCCGGCGAAAGACCCCAGGAAATTAAAGTGAAACACAATCAAGCGAACGCTGTAAGTGGGGAAGGGAAAAGGCATAACTTGCGTCCAAGATCTCTGCACGCAAAACCTTCAGACTTCACCGTCCCCTTGCATGCACTGGTCGCAAGTTTGTGCTCTTGCACAAACGTCATGGGCAGTTGTTTTTGCATCGATGATGGGGCGGGGGGGGCGGGGCGTGCCGTGTGGTCAGAGAACGGCGACATTCACTTGGCACATACGAGAGCTCGTGCATGCGCGTGCTCCAGCAAGTGTGCATCCACGAGGCTGACATGCGGTGGCCTCGTCATGTCATATGTCATATACAAAACAAAAGCCATGATGCGCGCGCAAAACAATCTGGGCGTCCTCTGTCAAGCAACAGGCTGAACAGGCTGAACGTGCGCTGCGCTCTTTCAATTTACCTTCCCGAGGCCTCAGCCAGCGAACCTGCCAGTGCCAGCGCATCTATCTTATCAATTTTGACCCCCCTGGGAAGCAGACCAAGTGCGGCTTGACGTTGACCAAAGCCTGCCGCGCGAGAGTTCAGGAAAAGACTTTCTCTTTCATCGGCATCGCAGCATCCATTCAGGAGTATTATCCTGTGTTCACTTTGCTGCATAGCACTTTTACTTATCAAAGTCGTCAACAGGAAGTCACTATCGCAGTAAGCTTCAAGCAACACTGCCACGTCCCTCACAATATCTGTACAATATTTGTTTCAGTAATTGAGAGGCGGTGGCGGAAGTTTCAAAGATAGGACACTGTAGGAGAGGCGAACTGTTGTGATGCATGGATGGCCGAGCAAATCCACTGATGGACCGAAAGGTGGTTGGTGTTGCATTTTTGGAGTGATTGCAGTGGTCACCTTAACCACCACAGCTGGATGTAGTGTGGTGTAGTGTAGTCCAATGTAATTGCAGCTGTAACTACAGCTGTAGTTAGTTGTATTGTAGTGTAGTTGTAGCTGTAGTTGATGTAGTTGTAGGTGTGGTTGTAGCTGTAGTAGGTGCTGCAGATGTTGTAGTTGTTATAGTTGTTGTAGCTGTAGTTGTAGTGTAGTGTAGTGGTGATGAAGCGTGGTGAAGTGGAGCGTAGGGAAGTGTAGGGTAGTGTAGCGTAGTGTAGTGGAGTTGTTGTTGTTGTTGTTGCTGCTGTTGTTGTTGTTTGTTGTTTTGTAGTGTTTTTGTTGTCTCTTTGCTGTGTTTTTTCCCCACATCTTTGTGTGGGGTTCTTGTTTTTGGTTCTGTATCCCGCTGCCTCCTCCTCCTCCTTCTCCTCCTCCTCCCGCCCTCCTCCTGACCACCTCACATGCTACTTGTTCACACAACTTGTCATCACACAACTTGCTCACACACAACTCTACTCACACACCTTGTCGTCAACTTGTCATCACACAACTTGCTCACACACAACAGTCACACAACTTGCTCACACACAACAACTTGCTCACACACAATTCAACTCACACACAACTCTACTCACACAACTCTACTCGCACTGCTACTTGTTCACACAACTTGTCATCACACAACTTGTCATCACACAAACTCTACTCACACAACTTGCTCACGCACAACTCTACTCACACAACTCTACTCACGCAACTTGTCGTCACACAACTTGCTCACACCACACACCTTGTCGTCAACTTGTCATCACACAACTTGCTCACACACAACAATCACACAACTTGCTCACACACAATTTTTAACTCACACACAACTCTACTCACACAACTCTACTCACACTGCTACTTGTTCACACAACTTGTCATCACACAACTTGTCATCACACAAACTCTACTCACACAACTTGCTCACACACAACTCTACTCACACAACTCTACTCACGCAACTTGTCGTCACACAACTTGCTCACACACGACTTGCTCACACACAATTCAAATCACATGCTACTTGTTCACACAACTTGTCATCACACAACTTGTCTTCACACAACTTGCTCACACACAACTCTACTCACACACCTTGTCGTCAACTTCTCATCACACAACTCCACCGTCGTTTCACGTGGCAGGCGTGGTACTTGGTGACATCGGCTTCCACTTTGCGTGGCAGGCGTGGCACTTATGGCACTGGACTGGCAAAGGTGGCGCGCTTGGGCCGGAGTGGACGTGGGTGTCGCCGCGGCTGTTGGCGTGGCAGGCGTGGCACTTGGAGACATCCACCTTCGTTTCACGTGGCAAGCGTGATACTTGGTGACATCGGCTTCCACTTTGCGTGGCAGGCGTGGCACTTATGGCACTGGACTGGCAAAGGTAGCGCGCTTGGGCCGGAGTGGGCGCGGTGGTCGCCGCGGCTGTTGGCGTGGCAGGCGTGGCACTTGGAGACATCTACCTTCGTTTCACGTGGCAGGCGTGGTACTTGGTGACATCGACTTCCACTTTGCGTGGCAGGCGTGGCACTTATGGCACTGGACTGGCTCCGGTGGCACGAAAGGGCCGGAGTGGACGCGGTGGTCGCCGCGGCGTGGCAAGCGTGGCACTTGGAGACATCCACCTTCGTTTCACATGGCAGGCGGTACTTGGTGACATCGACTTCCACTTTGCGTGGCAGGCGTGGCACTTATGGCACTGGGCTGGCTCCGGTGGCGCGCTTGGGCCGGAGTGGACGCGGTGGCCGCCGCGGCTGCTGGCGTGGCAGGCGTGGCACTTGGAGACATCCACCTTCGTTTCACGTGGCAGACGTGGTACTTGGTCACATCGACTTCCACTTTGCGTGGCAGGCGTGGCACTTATATGGCACTGGACTGGCTACCTTCGTTTCACGTGGCATGCGTGATACTTGGTGACATCGACTTCCACTTTGCGTGGCAGGCGTGGCACTTATGGCACTGGACTGGCAAAGGTGGCGCGCTTGGGCCGGAGTGGACGCGGTGGTCGCTGCGGCTGTTGGCGTGGCAGGCGTGGCACTTGGAGACATCCACCTTCGTTTCACGTGGCAGGCGTGGTACTTGGTGACATCGACTTCCACTTTCTCCGGTGGCACGAAAGGGCCGGAGTGGACGCGGTGGTCGCCGCGGCTGTTGGCGTGGCAGGCGTGGCAACTCGGAGACATCCAACTTCGTTTCATGTGGATGTGGTGGTGGTGGTGGTGGTGGTGGTGGGTGGTCGTGGTGGTGGGGGTGGTCGTGGTGGTAGTGGTGGTGGTGGTCGTCGTGGTCGTCGTGGTGGTCGTCGTGGTGGTCGTCGTGGTGGTCGTCGTGGTGGTCGTCGTAGTAGTCGTCGTGGTGGTCGTCGTAGTAGTCGTCGTAGTAGTCGTCGTAGTAGTCGTCGTAGTAGTCGTCGTAGTAGTCGTCGTAGTAGTCGTCGTAGTAGTCGTCGTAGTAGTCGTCGTAGTAGTCGTCGTAGTGGTCGTCGTAGTAGTCGTCGTAGTAGTCGTCGTAGTAGTCGTAGTAGTCGTCGTAGTAGTCATCGTAGTAGTCGTCGTAGTAGTCGTCGTAGTAGTCGTCGTAGTAGTCGTCGTAGTAGTCGTCGTAGTAGTCGTCGTAGTAGTCGTCGTAGTAGTCATCGTAGTAGTCGTCGTAGTAGTCGTCGTAGTAGTCGTCGTAGTAGTCGTCGTAGTAGTCGTAGTAGTCGTCGTAGTAGTCGTCGTAGTAGTAGTAGTAGTGGTGGTAGTAGTAGTAGTAGTAGTCGTCGTCCTCGTAGTAGTAGTAGTAGTAGTAGTAGTAGTAGTAGTCGTCGTCGTCGTCCTCGTAGTAGTAGTAGTAGTAGTGGTAGTGGTAGTAGTGGTAGTAGTGGTAGTAGTGGTGGTGGTGGTAGTAGTAGTAGTGGTAGTGGTAGTAGTGGTGGTAGTGGTGGTAGTAGTAGTAGTAGTAGTAGTAATAAGAATAATAGTAGCAATAGTAATAATGGTAGTGGTAGTGGTAGTAGCAGTAGTAGTAGTAGTAGAAATAGTTGTGGTAGTGGTAGTGGTGGTGGTAGTGGTAGTGGTAGTGGTCCTGCAATGGTAGTGGTGGTAGCAGTAGCAGTAGCAGTAGCAATAGCAGTAGCAGTAGCAGTAGCAATAGCAGCAGCAGTAGCAGTAGCAGTACCAGTAGCAGTAGCAGTAGCAGCAGCAGTAGCAGTAGCAGTATCAGCAGCAGTAGCAGTAGCAGTAGCAGTACCACTAGTAGTAGTAGTAGTAGTAGTAGTAGTAGTAGTCGTGGTAGTAGTAGCAGTAGTAGTAGTAGTAATAATGGTAGTGGTAGTGCTGGTAGCAGTAGCAGTAGCAGTCGCAGTCGTTGTATATAGTCGTTGTATATAGTCGTTGTATATAGTCGTTGTATATAGTCGTTGTATATAGTCGTTGTATATAGTCGTTGTATATAGTCGTTGTAAATAGTCGTTGTAAATAGTCGTTGTATGTCGTTGTACGTCGTTGTATATAGTCGTTGTATATGGTCATTGTATATGGTCGTTGTATATAGTCGTTGTATATAGTCGTTGTAGTCGTTGTATATAGTCGTTGTATGTAGTCGTTGTAGTCGTTGTAGTCGTTGTAGTCGTTGTAGTCGTTGTAGTCGTTGTAGTCGCTGTAGTCGTTGGTGTCGTTGGTGTCGTTGTTGTCGTTGTTGTCGTTGTTGTCGTTGTCGTTGTCGTTGTCGTTGTCGTTGTCGTTGTTGTTGTTGTTGTTGTTGTTGCTGTTGCTGTTGCTGTTGCTCTTGTTGTCGTTGCTGTCGTTCTTGTCGTTGCTGTCGTTCTTGTCGTTGTTGTGTCGTGTGGTGTGGTTTAACGTCCAAAAGTGGTCCGAACCTGGTGTGGTTTGTGCATTTTGACTTGGACATGTGCTTCTCGCCACAGTATGCAGTTTTTAAACATCTCCACTTCCAAAACTGCTCCGGAGCTGAGGAGTTTTGCATATTTTGGCTTCCAAACGTGCTTCGCGCCACAACGCGCGCACTTTTTGAACATCTCAACTTCCAAAAGTGCTCCGGAGCTGAGGCGTTTTGCACATTTTGACTTCCAAGCGTGCTTCGCTCCACAACGCGTGCACTTTTTGAACACCTCAACTTCCAAAAGTGCTCCGAACCCATCAGTTTGTAACACTTTTGACTTCGAAATGCGCTTCGCGCCCACAACGGCGTGCGCTTTTTCAACATCTCAACTTTCAAAAGTGCTCCAAGCCCGAGGTGTTTTCAACGTTTTGGCTTCCAAATCTGCTTCGCGCCACAACGGGGTGCAATTGTTCATCTCTCATCTGCCCAGATGGCTCCTCACCCGCCGCTTTAGCGAGCCTACTTTTTGACCCTCCCGAGCCCCAAAACAGTGGAAAAACAGAGTGTTTCGCAACTTTTCTACCTTTTCACGCACCTGCATCTTCTTTCTTCTGACTCTTTCTCTCTGATCTTCTTTCTTCTTCTCTTTTCTTCTCTGACTCTTCCCACCTCTGCTTTTTCATCTGTCCATATTGTCGGAAGTTTGACTTCTAAGCTTCCTTCGGTATATATATATATATACATATAAAATGATATTATATATATATATACGTATATATAAAGATATATATATATATATACATTCTCGAGCAACTTTTGCTCTTCTTCCAGGCCCTTAAGCTGAAACCTCCCTGTTGCACGGCCTTGCGTCCACCAGCTGCCAATGCAGCCATTGCAACACCGGCCACGGCAAGAGATGCTGTCTTGCTGCTGGCTGGTGCCTGTCCAGGGTCCAAAGGCTCAAGGAAATCGGTCACAGGGTCAAGGTACTCTTTCAGAGGCTAGACATGGCTAGACTGTGTAAAACTACCTATAAAGATTGAAAAAAAAACTGCGCGTTGGAATGTTCTAGCCGATGTTTTGTAGATGGTAATTTTGTAACAGCAAAAGCATTACCTGCCTCTACTCTTGGTGCAGCAGGTGCATTTGAGGCCGTCGCCTGGGTTGCAATTGCCACTTGATGCGTGGAATTCCTTGTCCCATGAGGCAATCAAACAAAACTGAGGGCACGGCCCGGAGATTCCCTGAAGCAGGGGCTGACACGAAGGAGACACCGCCAAGGACTGCGGCTGCGCCTGGCCGCAATGTGAAACGATCTAGGGCCAAGCTCGCAATCAAAGTCCAAGCCTCAACAGTTGACGCCTTTTGAAAATTTCAAAAATCAACTTTACATCCTGGCTTTGCTTGCCAGAATCTTATTTCATGAAATCTTCGTGATGTTTGAGTAGAACCAGTCGACACCTGCTGCTGCTGCAGTGGTTCGGGAAGTAGACGCCATCCTTGTGTCATTCTAATACACTGCAGCACACCGCAACACCAAAGTGTGGCCAAGGCCAAGTCTGGGATGAACAGCTAAAGAGGCTGGGCAACCTAATCTCTAATTGAAGGAGTTGCGTTCCGACGCAGCGTTCTGCTAATCTTTGATACCAGAAACAGAAAGAAACAAAAACAAGGTAACAGCGTCTGTAAGAGGCCGTGTCGGTGATGACATCACACAGTGCCAGGACGATGAGGGAAGTGTCCGAAACTGTAGTATTTTATACATGTTTACATTTATGGAATAAATTTCTGGTGCAAATCCCTTGGAAAGGTCACTGCTAAGTGGAAAATCTAGTGTTTTACAAGCACGAAACAGGAGTTTTGTTCGTCGAGGGTTTCGCCGAAAAGTTCCGTTTTTCCTTTCAAGCACAAAGTTGTCCGAAGTTATTCAGGACATTGCCTTTGACGCTCCTGCGCCAGACTGCAGCATACAAGTACTTCCACCTTTTGGTCCCACTGTCTGTCTAAAGTCTGTGTTCCAGCCAGAGAAGAACTCTTTTTTGTGGGCTTTCTGCCCAAGTGCTTCACAAACTCACTTCGGTTGTGGGCAACGTTTTGCCATTTGTAGCGTGTTTCTGGCATTTGTTGTTTGGAGGCTCCTTCCAAGCTTTGCAACCATCAGCAGAGCAAGCTGTTCTGGCTCGTAGCATGACGTATGTGTGGAAGCGCAAGAGAACGTGGAGCAGCATAGCATGAGGTATGTGTGAAAGGGCAAAAGAAAGTGCAGCAAGGTAGCATGACGTATGTGTGGGATGGCAAAAGAACGTGCAGCAGGTAGCAAGACGTATGTGTGGAAGTGCAAGAGAGCGTGGAGCAGCATAGCATGACGTATGTGTGGAAGGGCAAAAGAATGTGCAGCAGGGTAGCATGACGTATGTGTGGAAGTGCAAGAGAACGTGCAGCAGCGTAGCATGACGTATGTGTGGAATGAAGGTTAACATCCCACCCCACCCCAAAGCCCCCACACCCAATATATCCACACGCGCATGGCCTCTTACTGGTGTTGACACCAAAAACAACCACTAGGGTAACATGCTTTGCTTGCAACAATAAAAACATCGTCCAACCCATCGAGGCGGAAGAACCATCACATATGCATCCAAGACTCTCAGATTAAAAAGACTTCTGAAGGAAACTGGCACGAATGGAAAATAAAGGTGTTCTGTACACCCAAACGGCCCTTAAGGTCCACGGAGGGTGAGACTCTGAGCCCAAAAAGCGTCCACTGCGGCCAGGCGAGTTGTGTCCAGGTCACCATGGCAGATCACAACAGGAAGCCATGCATCACCAATGAACCAACTTGAACTGATGAAGGTGGTATTCTGGTATCAAATAGTCGTCATTGAACTGTTGCACATCAGAATCAGTTCGCAACTCAGGATCTTTCGATACCTTTTATAGTTTCTAGACTCATCTTATCTCTGCGAGCCGCTCCGAAACGCCCTACGTCCCTGACTTTCGTCTGGGTCTCGTGCTACAGCAGCACATTCGGATTCCAGACTTTCCGGCGCCTTTGGGCACCTGGCTCAAGGTTCATTATGTAACAACCATGAGAGCCATTGCCCACTCACCAGTCCCAAGCTGCCTCTGTATCTGCTCAGCTTTGTAAGGCTATTGCAAGATACTAATTCCCCACTTTGTAAGATACTACAGTCTACAGTAATTCCCCACTCAGCTTCGCAACAGGCATCACTGCAGCACCTCACTCATGATGGTTCACTTATGCTAAAGATGTAAAAGGAATAAGGACATCTAAGGAGGAACCGGAGGAGCAAACCAACAATTGGATCCACCTTGACTGAGCAAACCGAAGATGATGAGGATATGACCAAAGCCTTGTCACCTCATCTGCTGCGAACTCCAACAGCGAGCCTATGTCACTGTGGAAGCCGGTGAAGTTTCGGCTGTACATCGCTGGTGTGGCACCCTGAAAATTCAAGTCATTCAAGGTCAACAAACTGTGCAGTGAAAAAACCATTTCCAGTCAACCGACACTTGAAAGGAAGTGGGTAGTTGCTCACCTCATCTCACGTCCAAGTCTTTTCAGTCAGCCAACACTTCGAAGAGTTTCTGAATAAATGCACAAGTCGGATCCTCTAGGCTCAAAATGCTCAAAGAAGCACAGGGGCAGACCAACGACAACGACAACGGTTTAACCCGCAGTGGCCAAGATGCAAACATGGCTGCCAATGAGATCCCCATGGCCCATGGCTCGCATCAAATGGCTGACTTTGAGCCCACGCTGCAAAAGCAAAGCCTTCGGTTTCTTCCGATTGCTGAAATGTGGGAACACTCTGAAGCGGTGTATTTGGTCTGGCAATTTGAAGGCCCTCAGAGGGTTGCAACATCATTCAAGCTTCAATTCGTGGAAGTTCCATTGCTAAGGGAATGCCAGCTTCAAAAACACCATGGGAAAGTATCGTGTCTCAGTCAATGCATGCAGCACTTGACGCAGGAGAGATTTTCAAGCACTGCACCAGCCAAATCAATCATATATAAAGTGGGACATTTGATTTCCCGTTCACCCAGTCTTGATCTCCTTGTAGCCGGACATTGCTTCCGGGAGCTGTCACAGTTCTTTGCATCGTTCGCTGTACAAAGCCTTCGTTCGAAGACTCCAGGCCAAACAAAATGGTCAAGGGTCAACGAGTCAACTACAAGTTCCATCAAGTTCCTCTACTTTATCCATGTGCCGTTTGGCCAACATCCTCTGCTATGGATTCCGTGGTCACCCTGAGTCAATCTCCACGGGATTCCTTTCCGCAGTCCCTGGCAACAAGATACAGGCAAAAGCCACTGAGGGCTAAAGAAGCAGTGCAGAACTGCAGAACTGCTGGGAAAGTGAGCCCTAGGTTTCAATATGTCTGCTTTCTGTTCCTGATTTGTGACTCCAGACTTGAAGTTCAGCCTCTTTTGCAGGACTTGCACGCTTGGAGCAACGACAAAAGAGAGGCACTTTGGCAACTCGCACTTTGTCTCCGCCAATAAGCAGGTTAATGTGGCGCAAAGTTATGTTGCTATGGCTATGGATCAAGACCTGGTACCCTGGTGTTTTGCCAAAATAGCATTGAAATGGACGTTCATCCCCCAAAAATAGGGAAAAGTATTGGTTTGGATGCATCCTCATGTGAATCTTGTACATTCCAATAGCAACCAAAAGCTAGCTGGTGGTTTCAACCCCCTGAAAAATACTAGTCAATTGGAATCATCCCTCCAAATAGGCTTGAAACTTTAAAACTAATGAAACAGCCAAGGGGAAAATTACAGTATATATCTCAACATGTCTCACCAGGATATCGAAGCCACTCAGCACAAAGCTCGACGACGTGGCACCATGCCCGGACAAGGTGCACAGGGTGCCTCCCGCTGAAAGCTCTTGCAGAATCCCTGAATTAATCTGGTCGTTTCTGTGAAATCATGACATATCATGACATGTTCAACTGAGAGAACTGTCCATGGAAGCTCGCCATTTGAAAAAACGACAAGGCATGGGATTTTTGTGCCCGGGACATCCTTGAAGCATCCTTGAAACATCTTTGAAACTGCCAACCCCTCAGGCCCTGCCTGCATTGGAGTAGCAGCTGGCGGGGCCTAGCTGTTGAGACTTGATGGAAGCATCGCAACAGGCGACCACGGCAACCACCGAGCGAGGCCAGGGCTGCTGCTGTCGGAAGTGTCCCATTTGCACCATCTGCACCTGGGAGAAGTGGAGCCAGCTGACAAAGTATCGCTGTAAGTTGCAGGCAATCTGATGCAGCGTCATTCAGCCCCTGACCGCAGCATTCCTCAGTTGTCAATTCATGTCACATTCCTTGTTGCTGTTGAGCTTTCAACTCCACTCCCGCAATATCTTGGTGGAACCCCCCTTGGCAACCCTCCCAAGGGACGATCAGTCACAAGTCCTTCAACAACGTTTGTGCTATCATTGAAACCCAGCGATTTATCCCAACACCCACAGCCCAGGCAGATTGTATCACCAAGCCACAAACCTTTGCTTCCTCGCCACCTCACAAGCTACAGAATGGAAGAGTGCAAGAAGCGTTGCTGCCATCGGCGGCTTTGAACAATAGATCTTTACATTCATATGGACTGGAATGACTGGAATGACTGGAATGACTGGAATGACTGGAATGACTGGAATGACTGGAATGACTGGAATGACTGGAGTGGTCCGAAAAAAACCGATGGCTAGCCATCATCATGTGTGGCTGGTTTTTCAAGGTTGGCAAATGTGGGATCAGCCATCAGCAGCCTAGACATCCTGCCTGTGGGGCCGGCATTGGGCCACCATAGGCTGGCGGGGCATGTATTGGGCCGCCATAGCCGGACACCTAAACGATGTCTGGATGCAGTTCTTTAGGTGGATCTGAACTCAAAGTCATGCCTCCTCACTGGTCACCGTCCCCTTTATGATACTGTGACTATGACATCAATTTATACTCACTGCATGTCTTTCATCCTCATCAGGATGCTCCATTTTCTGGATCAATTTCATCTGAAAATCCCCCATGCTCTCTCAGGTCGGAACTGCAGCGGAGTCGGTGAAGTCTGCGGACGGCGTCGATCCGTTGTATGTTTAGGCAGTTTAGGCAGTTGTATGTTCGCGCCAAACGGGAGACCACTGGTGCTATATCTTGTGACTAGATATCTTTATGTAGCAATATGTGTAGCAATGTGTGTAGCAAACCTGCAATCTATGAGGCCCGGACCACAAACATTGCAGCAGTCCTTGGCGCTGGAAATGCACCGGCTCCGCGACAACTCCCAAGCTTATAGGTTGCGGCTTACCATGGGGGGGTGGAGTTGTGAAAGGTCTGATTTTACAAGGTTTTGCATCATAATGCATGAGTTGATGTGGTTATGAGATGGTCATGCTACATTTCAAACAAAATATTTCAAAACATAATGTAATCTTACAAGAAATGTGTTTTCATCAATGATTTTGACACTGTGCTTGGAAAGCGAACAACACACGACTGACCAGAATACTGCATTTTCTGCAGAGATGTTGTCTCTTTCCAAGAATGCTTTATTTTTTGTTTAGCATTTTTTGTAAAGAAAAAATGTCTATATACAATGATTTTGATGCCTGCAATGAATTCTGCATTATGTTGTTGTACATATTGCCATATATATATATATATTATACACTATTTGACAAATGTAATGTTTCTTCACAATAATTTATGTTTCTCAAAAAATATGTATTTGATATTGAACAGACATGAGTGCAATTTCCAGCTGCAAATTCTGCATTTTCTGAAAAGTGTTCTGCATCCTTTCATGCTCTTCATGAGTGCTTTTCAAGAAAGAACATGTCCAGATTGAACATGCACTTCTTCAAAAGATAGCTACGATTGAACCTAGACCTTTTCCAGGCATCATCTATATTTCGCCTTAAAAGCGCTGCCTTGTTGAAAAAGGTAACACACTTGCAGGGAAACAATACATTTTGTGCATGAAAACGCAACTGACAGTATTGAGAAATGCACTTCCTGAAAAGACTGCTGTATCTTGAACAAGTTTTTTTTGAGAAGATCATGCATCTTGAAAACAAGCCTGCTTTCTGCAGTGAATTGTGAAAATGAGGATGACCCTCTACCAGCCGGAAATCTCCTCTCGGGGGGACCAGGGGGGATCGAACCTGCCGTGGGGATGTCTAACTTGAAAGTTTCAGGGTTTCCAACGGTCCTGGTGCCTGCCTATTCCTTGCTAAAGCAAGAGCAACTTCAGCTAGCACAGCTAGCTTTCGTGAAAAGTTTCGACCCATAGAGAGGGTCTGAGAAGCTGGACAGGAGACATGCGGTGAAACTTTTTGTTTTTTTGTTTTTCCCATGGGTTTTAGCACTTTTGGGCCAAAGTGGCAGAAACCTCGAGAAAACAAAAAACAAAAACAAAAAGTTTCGACCCATGAACCAGGTCTGAGAAGAAGCTGGCCAGGACATGGCTCTGAACTTTTTGTGTTTTTTTGGATGTTTGTTTTTTTGTTGGTTTTTCCATGGTTTTGGAGCAGTTTTTTCCTCTTTCAGAATTTGGATTGTTTGTATGAGAGTTTGGGATAGATCTAAGCTCCAGGAATGGAAGCAGATCAGCAAACAGGATGATTTTAAGCAAACAGTGCAAGACATGCGCATTTCTACAATCAGCACGCCTTCACCCCCCCCTCATCCTCCCTTCTGTATTTTTGCTTATATTATTTTCATGATTACTATCATTATTGCTATTACCATCATTCTTACTATCATTATTACCATTATTGCTACTATTAACACTATAATTTTATATCATCCCAATTGACATTTCCACTGCCTTTGCCACCAAGCCACCCAGCGTTCCTTCCGCGTCGTCGGAGCTGACAAAGGTGCAGCACTCGAACGAAAGACGTCAAAGATCAAGGGGTGGGAGACCGCCTGCCACAAAAAATATTGAATGTGGGTAAAACAATAATATTTTTGGTGGTAATATAAACATTATTATAATATTACCTTAAATTTATTACCAAATATAAACCATCCCCCAGTCATCACCATTTTTTGCTACGGTGCTATAAAATCTATAAACCATTCCCAAATGGGTGGTTTATGATAAAGTTTTACCCACATGAATGTAGAAAACCCATGATGCTTAGTCATGCTTAATGATGATCAATTGGATAATCATATGGATATCATGGGCATCAGCAGGTTATTGTGGGAAACCCAATGCCATAAACTACCATTTTCGGATGGTTTATGTACAGCACCCATGTGAAATGGTGACTTGGGGATGGTTTATGGCATTGGGTGAATCCCACGGTTAAATGGCTTGTAAAACCACCGTGAACTATTCGCAGCTATCGCTCTGGTCAAATTTACCGTACAAGAAATGGGTTGAGCTGAGCCGTCGCCAAAACCTATCTAATCTGCCTTGAGTTCTACTTGTCTTTCCCTTTCGGGGCTTCTTTCGCAAAGCTTTCGCGGCCTGTGTTGTCACTCTCGCGGCATCAGTGTGCTTGAAAGTCACTTTCGCGGAGCTTTCCCGTGAGACAACTCTTCCCAAAGTTTTAGCGACTGTGGCTTTGGCTTTCGCGAAGGCATATCACTTGAAGCGTCCTTCATTGTATGATTTTGCAGGTTTTGGACGCTGCTCAATTGGCGGTTTTCCACTTGGGTTCACCACATTACAAACATCCAATGGGGTCCAGTGCATTCCTGCCCACAGTGCCTGATGTGAGTTCATCGCTCGCCTGGCTGGGATTTGTTTACGACTGCACATCAAGATTCTCCGGATGTTTGTTGAGACTCAAACTGTATATATCAGGAAACTCCCGTCGCATCTTGAAACATCTTGGAAGCCCAGTGATCCAGTGATGTCCTGTGATGTGAAACCACTCCAACCACGGCGGCACCTGATTTCCTCCGAGAGCTGCTGCATATTTGACACCGGGTGCCCATTCACTTGCAGAATGTGATCACCCACCTGTGCGACGGTTGGAGCGTATCTTGGTTTCTGTCTCTTTTCATCCCCAGAGGATCCCGAAGGTATCCCGGCCTGCCAGCCGTACTGCGCAGCCTGTGGATTGCTAATCGCAGAGATCCAGCAGTTTTGGATGATCAGCCCCAACCTTGGAAGTTTCAAACTGCAGAACCAAGTGGGCCGAAGTGCGCAGGACTACACATGTTGCTTCCATCAGGCACTTTGGATGATATATTTTTAAAAATACATAACATGTAGAATAAGACTAGGTACTAAGAGGTACATCTCACAACTCACAAAATCTCACAAATACAAAGGTATATCTAATATAATATACCCATCTCTCCTGTAAACGAACTTCAATGTGCAAGAACCCACCATTTCTACATGATTTTCTCGCTTTCCCCTGGGTGTCCCTGGCCGACCATCAAACAGCTGCGGCACGGAGATCCGCACGTTGCTCCCGCCGGGTGCCGCCGGCGAGGCCGGCGCCAGCAACGGCTGGGTCGAAGAAAACGACCCGGGAGGAGAAGCCTCGGAGGCCATGGACGGCGGTGGTGGATTAAAAAAGGGAGTATATGAACATACACGTGCGTTCACATGTATGTATATATATTATGTGTATATATATATATGTGTGTGTGTGCGTGTGTAGACAGACATAGACACAGATAGATAGATAGATAGATAGATAGATAGATAGATAGATAGATAGATAGATAGATAGATAGATAGGTAGATAGGTAGATAGGTAGATAGGTAGGTAGGTAGGTAGGTAGGTAGGTAGAGATAGAGATAGAGATAGAGATAGATATAGATTTAGATTTAGGTATAGATATAGATATAGATATAGACAGATGTAGATATAGATATAGATATACATGTAGATATAGATATAGATATAGATAGATGTAGATAGATATAGATTGATATAGATTGATATAGATAGATAGATATAGATAGATATAGATAGGATAGATAGGATAGATAGGATAGGTAGATAGATGCATAGATAGATAGATAGATAGATAGATAGATAGATTGATTGATTGATTGATTGATCAGATATATTATTTTGTGTAAATATATATATATATTATTTGTATTTAATAATTGAATTATTTATTTGTATTTATTTTATGTATATGTCTATATGGCTGTGATTCAAAATTGTGTATGGAACGTTCCGCAGTGTTCCGGACGTATGGAACGAAGGGGCTTCGCAACATATTGTCAACCCCGGATTAATAAACCATGGCGTGTTAATTAAGGAGGTCGGTCATCCCCAAATAGTGATAATCTGATATTTAAATGGTACCCCATCCAGGGTTGACATCACATACGGTGATGCAAAACACAGACATGTCTCTATAGTGAAAAATACAAAGCCCTAGTTCCCCAAATAGCGAAGCTATTGGGGTTCTTACTTCAAGCATGATGAGTTGGATACTGTATGGCGTTTTGGAGTGGACATCTTGATTCCGCTGCAAGGTGCCACTGCAGGGTGCCGCTCAGGGTGCTGCGGAACCCAGGAGCGACATTCTGCAACGGCACCCTGCAGCGGCACCGGCACCGGCAGGCCACCAGCACCTTGAAGCGGCACTCCTGACAGCAGCACCCGCTGTCAGAGTGGCGTGTGCGCTTTGGAGCTGGCCTGCTGGTGCCGCTGCAGGGTGCTTGCAGAGCTGGCTTGCTGGTGCCGCTGCAGGGTGCGGGTGCAGGGTACTACTGCCAAAGGGCTGTCTGCATCTTAGGAATTTGGGCGCTGCTACAGGGTACTGCTGTCACAGTTCGAGTTCGGTGTGCGCTATGAAGCTTGGGTGCTGGTGTCGTTGCAAGGGATGGCTGCGAGATGTCTATGGCAGTGTGGGCGTTGGGCCCTGATGGAGATTACGCTTGTGCCATAGCCAAAACGCTTGGTTGCCACGAATTAGTTCTTTTGCTATCTGGGGTCTATGCTGGCGTAATTTTGTACCATCCATTTTTGAAACATCTTCTGGATTCAGCACCAAACCCTGAGCTTGAAGCTGACCCACTCGCCGCCAGCGTCTGCACAGAGGATGGCAACCCTGTGGGAGGGAGGTTGCGGTGCTCTTCCGGATGATAATCCCAACCTGCCAGAGCCGGCCATGGAAATGTGCGGATTTCTTGGACAAGAAACCTCTCAGGAACATCATATATATTTTTCTCTAATGCAAGGAATATGACATAATATGGGGCCATGTTGGCTACTCTGCCCTTGTGTTCTTCCACAATCCCATAATCAACGTTGAAACATGTATATCGCGCTTCATGATCCTTCTAGATTGCTTCACTGTCAAACGGAAAGCAAGATTCCATCCCGACATGTGCATGTGATACAACATGATACAACCTCAATATCAACAATCAAAAAGACTTTGCTTCTGCAAATTTGCAACTCCAATTTTCGATGTGTTAAACATCCAACTCCCTCATTGTCTACCGGGAACCTCCCTGACCGGCCCTGACCTCGCTTGATGGAGTCGAGGTGGTTAGGTGCTCCTGTGAGCCCAAAGCCTTGCCCCGCTCCTGAGACACTTGAAGCAGTGGATGTGGCCATGGTCTTGCCATCGTCTGTCTGTCTATTATGGTAAGGCCCAATAGAAATATCTGCTTCGGTGCCATCCAGGAATGACCTCTACAAACACCCATAGAAGATGAGATTCATTAAAAATACTGCTGCATAGGCCCCAAATAGAAAAGGTTTTTAAGGTGCTTTTTTCATCGTTTTTCTGCCGTGTGATTTGGTCGCGGAAACAGCAGAACTGCAACTTGCAAGCACCCTGCACAGCACCTGCCTACCATCCTCTAAAGCAGGAGGCCAAAAAGCTCGCGCACCGAAGACTCCAGCTATGAGAAGTAAAAAACCCTATTGCTTGCCAGCTCTCTGGAGAAAAACTCATGGATCGTGGAATCATGATACATCATACATGTGTATGTATAAAATAACATAAATATATAACATAAAATATACATATACATATTATATACTATATAATTATATATATAATTATATATATATATATCCATCAACTCGATTTCATGTAAAGATGGTTCATTTCTTCATGGAAGACATTCGGCACAGGATCACCAGCTGCCCCTCCGGGCGTCCTCGGCTTGCGCCGCTGGAACCAGGTGGTGAAGTCGCCCAGCCGCTCGCCATCGCGGCACTGCGTGTAGCAGTGTATCCTGATGTATCCTGATGTGCCATCGATATCCATCGATATCCAGACATGCCAAGAGGTATCCAAAATATATCCAAAATATATCCAAATATCCTGCGACATTCCTGTTTCTTGGCTGACAATCAGGGAACTGTCGAAGTTTTGAAGAAGGTAGTGTTATACGCCAGGCTCTTTGTAGTTGTTTTCAGGAAAATGCCATTGCCATGCATCTACCTTCGAAGAAGATGCATCTCGATATCAACCATGGCGATCTGTCCATAGGGAGAGGATGTCAGAATTTAGTCCTTGCCAAGTCCTTTGCATTCAGCCAGCAATATGAGCAGAAATGCTGCAAAGAAGTTGAAAATGACAAATAAAGTTGTACCCATCAGTGAATTCAGAGGGTGTTCGCAAATCATGAACAAGCAGCGCAACGAATACCAATTTGCAACTCTTACACATGTATATTAGGAGAAAGATATCCTTGCAATTTTAGCCTTCCCTCCGCCATTCACCAGCCTCCAACTATCACAGGTGACTTCAACTCCGTGAACTTTACCGGTGCTCTTGCTCTTGCCTCCGAAAGAGAAAACAATGCCTCCGACATGAAGCGAATGGACCATCATGTGTCAAGCCTCAATGAACACTAAAATAAGTAAGCATCTTGCAGCAGGAATTAACCAACAAAACCTAAGAGCCTTCAACCATAATCTCAAACAGTGCAGAAAGGGTGAAGTGCAAGGCACCTACATGTGTTGGGCAAAGTCGAGGTCGCAACATGCAAGATTCACTTTGCAGATTCATCCAACCTTTGCTGCAAAGAAACACTCTCAAGAGCTAAACACAAGTGGTTTCGATTCATCCAACCACAATCAATCCACCAAGTCCAAGCCATTTTTCCATCACTGGCAAGTCACAAATCCACCACCTCATCGGCTCGCGCGCTCGTCTTGCGAGGCCAGGTGCAGGCATCCCCATAGCTGGGCAATGGCTCTGACAAAACATGCCTTGCCAACAACTCTCCTGCTGCCGGTGAGCCCATCAGCCCATAGGTACCCATCCCTCCACAAACATAGGCGTTTTTGGCACCATAAGGCCCAACCAATGGCCGCGCATCAGGCGTGGTGCTGTAGTAGCCTCAAAAAAGCATCGCAACAAAAGACCCACACTTAAGTGTGGCTGTGTCTATGGGATACACCCCCCAAATGGCCAGCTTGATGTGGATGATGATAATCCACTGGAATTGGGGGTGTCCCCTGCAGACAAACCCAAGTGAAATTAACAGAGTGAATGAACAACAGGCCTCCATCAATTGTCGTATCTTTTGTGAGCTCCTCTATGTAGCACTCCAGTCCGGGCCTTGTATCCGAAAGAGCAGTTCGGTCCGACGGTACACAACTATGACAGCTGGAGCTTGAAGCTTGGAACACAAATAATTCTTTCGTCGACTTGGACTTTAAACATCAGCCTTATCATCTTCCCACGCCATATTGAATACTGCAAGTTTGGAAAGCACAAAAAATGACAAGAGTATTCTACTGATACTCCAGAAACTCCTGGAATTCCAATCCCAGCGACACCATCTCTTTAAGCCCTCGGAGGCATAGCTCAGGATACATCTCCAAGAAGTTCCCAATGGGCATGTCAGGATCCTTGCACTGTCACATCTGAACCCCCTCAATATGTCAAGGTTTCTGATATTCATGTACATTTGACTCCTTTGACCGTCACATTTACTTCTATCCCCATTGAATATGTCATCGTTAATCAGTATGGATCACTATGGCTGGCACAGATGGCTTACTTCTCCAATTAATTATATCCCTATCATCATCCTATTACAATTGGTTAAGGCATGTTAAGTCGTGCCAAGACATGTCAATTCCCCCTTTTTTCTGGTAAAATCCCACGTTTCCTTACACCCCACCCCCACTGCCCGTGGATCCCTTGGGGCTTGCCAATTCGCGCCTGCGGAACGGCGATATGTCGATGCAGGTGCTCCCAAAGCATCAGGACCCGGCCATTCCCAGCGGGGCGCAGATGCTGTCCACCCGGTTGCGGCGACAACCAGCTCGAGGAGTTCACCTAGGGGAGGGCATGGGTGTTGGGGAACCCTTGAAGAAACCATCAAATATCGGTCCAAAATCCAAGAAAATTGGAAGGCAAGATATTTCTGTTGCTGACAGAAATGAGACAAAATTGTGAAATTTGGGGGCAGCCTGATACAAAATTGTGATATTTGGGGGCAGACTTCAGACAAACCCAAACAAGTTGCAAGTGGAGGTTGAGCAGTGCAAATATGGTAGTATATTGCCTCTTCATCACTGCGATTAGCAATTTTATGTACAAGAGATGGGTGTGTACATATTTTTTCTGGGTAAACAAAATCTGGGTCAGCAATTGAAGTGAAGTGGCAATGCCACCCTCGGCAGTGTCGTCCAGGTCAGTGAGAAATTCCCTCATCTCCTCAGGTGCCACAAAACTGCCTGACTGAGATATCTCTTGGGGCAAAAAAAAAGTCTACCTGAAGGATGCTGACTGATGGATAGGCAGAGAGAAGCATCAAGCAATCATCTGTATATATATAAGTTATCTAAGGCACCTGTCTGCAGTACTTTTCAATCCTTTCAGCCTCTCCTCGTCCCAATCCATCATCACCTTGTCCCGCCACACCATGAACGGAGCTGTCTCCGGAATCACTCCCTGTGCCAACGTGCCAACGTGCCAACGAGACGACATGATTTGGTCGCTAAAGTGCAGGGCTGAAGACTTCAAGATTTATGGCTCACAGCTTGCGCCTTCACATCATGAAAGATCCTTGGCTTTTTGGCTTCATCTGAGAAATGACACGAGCGACTGAACCAATATTGCATTAGACGACACCAACACAGCCTGAAGCAGCTGTCAAGACGCAAGACAATCCATTCCGCGATATCAGATCAGCCACCCCTCTCGCAAAAGTCATCATGCCAAATGTGATCCCAAATGTGACAAAAAAATCAACTTGTCTTTCC